ATATATTAAGGCGTCTATAAGGATTTAGAAAAAAAGGATATATCAATACAGCATATTGAGAATTATGCATTTAACTAAGTACCACATTTGTTAAATATAATGGATGGAAACCTACGCTTCCTATAGTGTCTTTACAACAAACGTACAAGAAATAGCTTTTTCTATCCTTTTCGAAAATTACTTTGAAAGGTCAGTCCTGTCTTCTCTAGTCAGTGAGAACACCATCATCGATTTTTGTAGAAATAGTAACAGACTCTTGTACTCTCTATGGTATGTTAACAAAACTGTCTAAGATTTTTGTAGTTTCTCTACAATGTATCACATCCTACATCAGTCCACAAGGTTATAACTAACAGTGTAAAATATACACAGACTTAATGACTTTTGATCCTGATCCAGAACTCAGTTATACACATGCCACTGGGAAACACACCTTATTTCACTGTAGAGGACTGATTCTTTCTCTCTCACTGCAAGAACAGAAAGCATTGCTACAATGTGCCTTTTAATTCTAAAGTAAAAAGGCAGCATGGCTCAGAAGGAAATGCTAACCCCTGCCTTTCCCCCAGCCCACAATTCATCTGTACCCACTGATAACAATAGGAGCAGCACACTTGAATCAAATCCCCAGCTATTTAAAATCAATGTAGCTCATGAACTGTCCATGGTTGACAAACTGCTGGACAGAAAACCCCAGACTTTAATTTTAAGGCAGCTCACTGACTAGTGTCAGAAGACTAATGGAAATATATTCCAATACATTTCTAATTCACAGCCAAGTAGTTTAAATATCCTCTGTACTGTATACAGGGATTACCTGAAAATATTCACAACTGAAAGGAGTCCAGATCAGTTGCTTTAACAGCCTAACACGACCCAGTGGAGTCACGTGGTTAGAAACATCGCACCACCCAGTCATCCCAGCTTGTAATTGCTGTGGAAACGTTACTCAGAGTTCTGGAGGATGTGGAGTCATGGGAACATTTTGAAACAAGCAGCGAGCCATTGGAGCAGAGAAGCTATAAATCAGACTTGCTGGGCAGATGGCACTGCAAGCTAGTGAGCTGATGGCAGATGGAAGTGAGAGCTTGGAAAAGGCAAAAAAATTGGTTGCAAACTAATGAGATCTGTTAAGATGCTAGAGACAACTACTCTCCTTTTCTGATCGCTCTGCTTTAAGTGAGGGTCAGATCAACCACTCCTCCCACAGGAATCTACCCAGGAAAAGTTTTCAGAGCCATAAAGAAAAGGTAGTTTGTTTCCCCCCCGAAGAGGGATACCAACAGCAGCCATCCAGAGAGTAACTCAATATGAAAAAAGCCTAAGATTCGTAACTTAAAAATCCCAGGCTCTCATGAAATTTTTTGAAGTCCAGCGCCTTCTACGTACAATCTATAAGCCCTCCAGCCTGGCTCCAGGACAATATAAAGACTTTTATCTTTTCATGGCAGAGGAGCTTCCAACAAAGGGGAAGTCTCAAGCCAAGAACGATCTTTAATGGAAAAATGCTACACACCACGTTAACTTTGGTGATGATTTGGTCTTAGTCCAGACTAGAACTGAGGTTGGCTTGATGCTCACAAATGCTCCACGTCCTTCCTGCAGCTGACCTACAGTTCCTTTGCTGCTGTTACAGGATAGATAGTATCTAGAACTCCTTATGACTGCAGAATAGTTACTATCAGAAAAAACGTGTAGCACGTCTTAAGATATTCACTGATATCTTAATTCTAAGCTCCAAATGTTAGAAAAACCCTTTCTCCTCTAGTTACATATACATACATATATATATACACACACACACACATACATATACACACATATATATTTTCCTTTCCTTTGTCAGACCCTCAGGGTTCTTTTTTAAAGCAGCATTGCCAAGACTTCAAAGTTTTTTCTGTTCTGATAGAATAGCCCCAGAAGCATTAACAATGTTTCCAGAATAACACAATACAAAATTATCTACTTCAGTAAATGAGACAACCTCAGTGTAGGCTATGTGAGCTTCTAGCAGACAGCAGCTTCCACAAACTTCTAACATTACTTCTAGAAGCTTATGGAGTTTTTCTCCCAAGATGTATTACCAAGGGTGAGCCTTTCTCACCACTGTCATGAACGGCAAGGATCTCACGGTCTTACAAACTTCTATAGCTGCAATTTGTGACAACTGGGGATTTTTTTTTTTATTTGCATGTAAGTAAGAAAAGGGGTTGAAGTGGTAAATAAATTAACTTTGTTGAAAGCCTTTGGGAAAAGTGAAGTAAAGCTGTAGACTTGTGTGGGAAGCTAATAAAGAGGGAGCACAGCCATAGCACTGCAATGACACAAAGGATTAACAGGCTCTCAGCAAGAACTTGAATTTCCCAAAGTATTATGAAGTTCTTGTATCCTAAACACACATAGAAAAACATCCACATAGCATAAGAAAACTGCTATATACCATATACACACCCATGCATTTGCAGGGCCCCTAATGCTTAAGGCATATATAGAAATGACGTAGGTAATAATAAGTACTTCTCATAAAGGAGCCTACAGAGAGGACTGTGTTCATACAACATATATACATATTAACTATCTGTTCTTAAGATTTAAAAAAAAGACCAGAAATAAATTCCACCTATTTAGAAGGGTTTGACAGCACATTCCTGAGATTTTCATTACATTGGGATAAGCACATGACTGAAAGCTTACACATTCCAACTAAAAATCCACACTCTCTCACCAATTTCTTATGCAATCTTGATCAAGTCTCTTGACCTTTCCTGGGACTACCTTCTCCAGATGAAGTCATGGGGTTACACAAGCTACATTCCCATGGAGATGAACTATGCTACTTGCTCCTTTTTGATAGGTTTTAGGTCATTGTACCTTCTTCTCATTGCAGGGCAAATCTCAATCTCTGACAACCAGACAAAAATGAGGGGGGGGGAGGGAAGCAAACCACCACCACACACACACACCCCCAAACCCACAAAAGTTATTACAGAGCAATAACAGTCATGGGTTCTTACAGACCCATTCCTGTCCAACAAACATCAATTTCAGGTATTTTCAGATGCTCCCTTTATTTGCAGCTATCTTACATCTAGCCACTCTTGCAGCATCTAAATCCCCCCTTCAGCTGCAGAAGATACAGAGAGATAAGCTGTACATAACTGCAGAATAACAGGAAGTGACTAAAAAATGCTGTAATTGCAATCCTGTGACATATATGATCTGTAAATCTGTGTTCTAACAGAAGAAACACCTTTAAAAAGGAAGGCTAATTCCAGCACTGTGACTAAAAATCATGAATTTAATGCAAGTCTCATATTTTTCTTAAACCCTCAGCATCCTGTGGCATATTTGGGCCTCTCGTGTGTACAGCTCTTGTGGTTACAGACAGAAGTGCACCTCAACGACCTGAATTTCAGAAAGCACATCCAAATGACTCAACTGTATTTATTTACTCCAATTGGTTTTAAACTAATCTTACAATTTTATAGGAATAGAGGGAGCTGAGCTGTTTGTTCTAAACATCTGGAGAAGTCAACACTGCTCCTGGTATTCCAATTTACACATAAGCATATGTTTTCCCTTGGCAGTTTTATTATATCATTGTAAAAAAGTTCTCATTCATACTAAATGGAAATCCCCATCAAGAACTTTGATGGGCATCTTTCTGATCCAGCTTCTATGATTTTGTGGCCTTTCTTGGCTTGGCTCCAAGTGTGCTGCCAAGTATCTGTTCAGACATGATCACACTGATGCATCCACATATATGGAGAAAAATGGAAGAGGAATGGGAAAGAATAGTATTTTCTGATATTCATCAAGAATAATTATATGTTTCCAAAAGGTCATTTTTGTCTTCTTTCTTGTCTGTGAACAACTTTGACAGACAAATCAACAGCATCATAAGGTTACAGATGCAGATAACAGCAAACTAACCCACAAAGTTCTTAACAGAAGCACAGAGAAGCTCTTTGACATCAAGATGATACAATTAAAGCTTTTGGACCCACATACTTTGTGCAACATTCTTCCACTCCTCTCTCAGAAGTGCATAAGCACAGTAGTGATCCTCAATCAACAAGTGCCTCAGCATTACAACAGACATATAACTGGGAGGCCGGGCAGGAGGGGTACGGCTCCAAACTCTTCTATTACCTGGGGCTGACAGTATCCAAGAACTGGGGATACTGTTTGCAAGAAGGCACAGGCTCTGCTGTCGTCAGAGTTGATCAAAGAGTTATATTTTAAAAAAATAAATAAATCTGAATTTTTAATTAATTTGGCTAGTGCCATTGGCAAAACGTCTTGTCTCCCACACACCGTAAACCACAGAAAGGCAAGGAGAGAGAGAAAGGAAATACACACTGGAAAGACAGATGGGAAGATGAAAGCACTGGGGACTAACACTGCTATTAAAATGCGTCATCTATCCCTGCCCTCAATCAATTCTTATCACCTGGCCAGGATAGATACCCTGAAGTGAAATGGATTCCAGGGTTTCCATATTACTTACCTCATCATCCCCCTCCACACAATATAAATTCCTACTCTGAATACATAGTTTATCATTGAACAAGGAAAACGTGATTAAATGTATAATGGTAATGAACACAAATTACTGTGTTCAGATGGTATCTCAAACACTGCATGTTTAGCTACCCATAGTTTCAAGAAGAGTACACCTCTTATTACCTGTGCAATATACACAGCATCAGCTAGATAGGAATAATCACTGAAAGAAACAAAATTAGAGAAATCGAATTGTCAGCATGACCCTCATAACCCCAAAACATTCTTCTACGTGAACATTAACTTTTACCTTTGAAAGATAAAGTCATGGCATTATATAGCACAACAAACTATTTCTACACAGAACAGTCCTGCCTTTTTTTAAGTTTGACACTTTTACATTTACCCTAACATATCACTGCAGCTTGGTCATGACACCACTACGCAATACATCTCAAGAGCTTCTAAGACACCACAAAGTTTTCCCATCTTACCTGGCTCTGTACAGTTCTTTTCTTCATGTGTCCCGTTAGGCGACGCCATCAACCTTCTATTCCTCCATATTTCCGACAAAATGCGTCTGTCTCCAATAGTTGATTCTCGGCCTGTATTAAATAGAAAGAGCTTATGCCCACTACCACTGATACTTTTCTGCATCATCTTAACTGTACCATATGCCCCCACTAGCAAGGAGCATGGACAGACCAGCAAAATCAAGGTGTGACTGGGGCACATGCCAACACATACGTATGCTAGGTCCCTCTAGCTATAAAGGGTGGAACTAGCTATGAAAGTCCAGTGTCAGAGCTGTTAGCATGTTTTGGCTATCAGAATACCTGGCTGTGACCCACTGGGAAAATATTCTGCAGCAAACAAATGCTGAAGCCTGCACCTGTGAAACTCAACACTTAGCATTCCTATAGATGAAATAAGCCCAGCCCAGCTATGCTGACATGAGCAACAATCACACTTCCATTTAGTCATCTGCACTTGCACATATCACATTACTGATTTCTCAAAAAATAAAAATGCTCATGGACATGTTCCAGTTACATTTTGGTTTATTCTGAGTCTAGGGGCTGATCTTTTCAGTGTTGGGTTTACTTGATAATATCAATCCCGCATAACTTGTCAAAGAAAATGGAAAATAACTGCACTGTGAATCCCCACAAGTCTTAAAAAAAACTAACTTCTTTAGAAGTCAATGAAACTTTTGCCTAAACTCATATTCCAGAAGCATTCTCAATGGAACTTGCTGAATAGAGTATAGAAGGAGCACTTGTGATAATGCAGGGTATGCAATTATAATAATCAAGGGAAGAATAGAACCACTTAATTAAATCACTTCCATCTCAACTTCATCCATTTCAAATGAACATATTATAATAACAAATATTCTTCCGTGGCTGATCTTAGAGTTTATATTCAGTCACCATGTAATGCTTGTGTTACAGTGACTCTTGCAAAAAAATCTAGCTTGGAAGTTAGTTTGGCTAGAGTATTTGCTAAAATATTCTGATGCCACAATTATAAGAAACATAGAGAACAGATGGTCAGTGTTTATGGATACAATATACTGTAATTAGCCAGCTGAAAAAAAACTACCTGATGCAGCATACCATCAAAAATTAGGTTATGAGGGATTTAGTTGATAACCCAGGAGATTAAAAACTTTCATTAGTCATGACATTTTTCATGTAAATCTAAAAAAGTTCTGGAAAACTGTTATCTGCAACACCCCCTCCCCCCCAAACTATGTAAACATAATCATATCCAAATTACTTGCTTTCACAAACCAGTAAGTTTATGAAAATAAGTAATTGGTGCAAGGAAGAAAAGAAAAAAAAAGCATAGACATGACAAACAGTTCTAAAGAAAGCAAGCAACAGTTTACCTCTAAAACCACAATTAAAAAAAAGTTTAAAGTCCTAAGATGAGCAATATGCTAATATGGTCTAAGACACTGAATTCTTACATGGATAGGTTGTTGCCATCCTAGATATATTTCAAACAACCCAGGCAATAATTTGAGCACAAGACCATTAGAAAGTATGACAAGTTCCATCAGATTTTTCTTCCCTAAAGCACACATTTTAACTTCAGCTTTAATTTAAGCAGATGACCCATCCTAATTCTGCTGAAATCTGGTTTTCTTATATTAAACATGGACATAGGATCTGGGCTTAATTTGATTTTGTTCTTAAATCCCCAAGGATTGTTGGCAGTCCTACCCAGAGACCCATGTGCTGTCCCAGCAATCTTAGACTTTGTATCTGAGGGATGCAAAGCATATTGCAGGAAGAGGGCCTGAAGCTGCACACTTACAGCTCAAACTGTACCAGCAGGTGGGGGAAAAAAAACCCCAAAAAACCCCAAACCAACAAAACAAACAAGGAATGGGAATGACAGAGTTAATTATAAATGCATCAGTTTACCAACATGGCACTTGCACAAAGAATGCAACAGACTCTATTAAACATGAGATTAGCGCTGTTCCTTGCCTAAAATACAGAATTTTCTGTCAAATCCACACTGTAGCTGGGGGGGGGGGAGAACGAGCAAAGAAGCAGTTGTAGCTGATGGAGGTTTACAGCCTAAGGATAAAAATGAAAGGTGGCCCGAAGTTGCAGAGGGGACCAGAAGCGGCTGGAGAGGATTCAGCTCTGATGCAGCGGCAGGGGGAACCTACTTCAGGGCCCTTCCCAGGCACGCAGCTGCCCCGCGATTCCCGACCCGAAGCCCTCCGAGAGGCACGGCGGGCTCGGTGCTGGGAAGCCCTTGGCCACCGGGCGCCAGCGACGCCGCTGCCTCCTTTCCCCGCGGCTGCGGCCACGCACCTGCTCGGCGCGGGGGTTTCTCCGGAGGAACCCGCGCTGCTCCCCCGCCTCGCCCGCCCGCTGGGGTATTTCCACCGAGAAACTCAAAAGGGGAACAGCCGCGGACGCTTGACCCCGCCGACCCCCGGCTGCCCGCGGGGCGGCAGCCCCCGGGCCGCTCCAGCCGCTCTCCCGGCCCCGCCGGGGTCCGCCGGTCCCGCCGCCGCAGCCACTCACCCAGTCTGGAGAGCAGGCTGGACATGCACCAGACGAAGAAGAGGATGGCGCAGATGAAGCCCAGCTGCTGCAGCAGCATCTCCCGCCTCTTGCGAACTTTCCTCAGCATCAGCAGCATGGTCTTCGGGCGGGCGAGCGGCGTCTCGTCCGGCTCCATGGGAGCAAGCGCGGGCGCCGAGGGGGCGGCCAGCAGGGCGGTCGGGAAGCGGGGATCACTCCCGGTGGGTTCCCGCAGACGACTCCATGTCGGGCGGGCTGCAGCGCGGAGAGGAGCCGACGCCTAACGCCTCAGGTCGGCGGCGGCGAAGCAGAGGCAGGTGGAGGCGGGCGAGGGCGCGGGGAGGACGGCGGCGGCAGACCGGAGAGGGGGGGAGGGCCAGGCGTCGCTCTCAGGGGCCGGGCTGAGCCCCGCGCCCCACACGCACCATGGCCGGCGGCGGAGGAAGCGGCGCGGCGGCGCCCCGCGCTCCTCTGTCAGCGGCCGCCCCGCAGCGTGCCGCGGGCTGCCAGTCAGCACCGAGGGACGGCGGCATCCATGCGGCTGCCTGCCCGCCCCGGCCAAGTTTGAAGTTTATCCCTTTCT